TCATCGAAGAAGTAAAATAATGGTATTAAAATCTCCACACTTAGACGTGAGCCAAAAAGTATTGCACCACTTCGGCGAATAATACAAAATGGCAGTCGAGCGTCGTGATACGCCCATTTCGCGTCTTCGCATCAATTAAACCTATCTCTTTCTTGTAATCTAGCGATGCTACTTATAAACTCAACCACAACAATAACCTTCAACCTCCATTCTTGGCCACACACGTGTTTATTTCAATTCTTTGAGAAATAATGTATCTTCTTAATTTAATTCTAAAAACGGTAACCGCTTTCTTTACTTGGGAACAGTCTCGCGAAGTTCTTGAAACTTGTCTAATAGCTTCAACTGCAATCGACACACTTTTTATCGCCAGCAGGTTTATCTATTTGAAACATTCGCACCACGCATGAATGCCCTATCTTCAACATTTTTCACAATCAAAAACAATCCTCATGCGGTCTAATGACTACTTCCTCGGACTACTGAGTGCGTCTTTTCGTTCTGATCCCAGACGATATTCCCTATGATCTGGAACCGTGAGATCTTCGACTGTGGCACAACATAGTTGACTAATTACAGCCTAGTTTTTAGTGAACGACTTTTCCCTCAGTCTATCTCGTCTCAGTTGTCACTTGTTTCTTTCGACGTTTCTTCGGCCACAAATTCTTTTGCCCTCTATTTTCCATTTATTTCACACAATACGTTCGGCCATGACCTGAATGCTTGTTTATTGAGCAATTCTTAGCAGTCATTATCTTCTTCCCTTAAAAACATTTTGTCACATTGGCTGCAAAAAGATGGTACAGCTTACGGACACTTACATATGTATTTTGTATCGATTGAATCGTTGCAACATTGTTACGAAATGGATATAAAAAATTAGGGCCCTTTGCAGTTACGAAGAAACGCGCGATCAAACCTTTTTGACAAATATTTAACAGCAGTAACGAAATTAAACAGTTGTCGGGCACCCAAGCAGAAAGTAAGCATCTACAAGATCTCTTCATAAATCTTACAAGTTCAAAGAAAATCCTTTTTTATTGCAAAATAGTTACAGGCACTCTTGTCATCTTTGCTGGTCTCTTCGATTATCGCAGTGTCGATCATTGCTTAAAAATCAACTATCATTGAAACAAAATGTAATTATGTTTGTTGATTAACTCATTTCATTTTTCATTCATACTACCTGTTTAGCACTAGATTTTCAACTCATTTGCCACCCTACCAGTCCTCCTTAAATTACCGTTTTATCTCATACTTTGTCCACCCCTTAAGCCTATACCTCTGACATTATTCTGGCTGATGCGTTTTGCCTAGTGATAATTCTGTTTGCGGTGGTGCTTGTCCACTTTCTGGTTTTAAGGGTAACATCATGCTTGACAAGAATACACGTATGAGTTTACGTGTAAAGGGAAGTTTTAGTTTAAAACTATACATAAATACATCACTCCTACTGAGTGAGATCACTATACTAGCTATACGATATTCCCTCGTAGACAGTTGAAAAGATTTGGAAATCAGCTATCGCTTTATCACATATCTCTTATGATAGTTGCTCTTTATCTTGCTTCTTCCCTGCTATACCTTTGTCTCGCGTGTAGCTTTAACTATGTTCTCCAGGAGCCGGAACAATTGTAATACGTAGATTGATTTTTCGTTTTTTCTCCTGTCATATAGTTCTACTACTCATAGGAGTTTCTTTTCTGTACCGGAAGTAAGCGAATTAATTGATTTTCGTGGTGGTCTACGCATAATTTTATCAGGTTGCTTTCGTAATCGGCAGATTTTGCTGAGTGCGTGCTAACGTACTATCCCGTTGCCTCGTCTCCTTTCTCTCATCGTCGATTCATCGTACACACTCTTACTCATGTCCTTTATCTTATCTTCCATCCTACATCTTTCCATACTTACAAACATAGGCTCTTCCTTGGTCTGAATTCTGCATCTTTTATCAAAACAGAATAAAAAAATTTTTACCCGTTCTATGGAGTTCCAGCGGCTGCATGTTGTCAATGCAAAAATA